TATTGATTTATGGGAGCGATTTTACATATGATTGCTCATGGAGGCTGGCCTAAAGCATTGCATTAAGTACTGTGGGTCACAATGTTTCAAAGTGGCAGTAAGTATAGGTGATACATCTGGAAGTCTGGGGATGTGTGGCATCGGGCAGAGGAGTGGGTCATTCCCTCACGTTACTGGCTGACCACAGCATCCTGAGGCCCGACCCTGTTGTCTCAAGGTTGGTCGTGGTGACATGGCTTTTTCACCAGCTACCAGAATTAATTGCAGCCGTCATTGAATAATATCTGTTTAGCTAATGCAGGGCTGTGCTTGAGCACGTGTGTGGGCATTGGGCATAAAAGTATATTTGTGAAGTACATTATGGGAGAAAATGCACAATAATATTATATTTACCGGCATATACTAAATTAATAAAATATATCACACTGCCATTACAACATGTAAATAAAAACAAAACATTAACTCCTGTGTAAATAATGAATACAAAATGAAGTCATTTATACGACGTAACCACTTATTTTCATTTACGAGTCCGCTAAAGGGACTGTGGATTTTGGAAATAAATACATAAATACATAATAATCAACACTGGGAGTGTTCGGCATAGAGTTGGCAAGTATGATATAGCAAATGCATGTGCTTGAAAAGTTTATACTTTAAATATTTGACTATCATTGCACTAAAGCCTCGTCTTAAACAGTGCTTAAACACAGTGCACTTGTGAATGATGGAAAAGATGTACAAATCCCAACTCGTGTATTATTAAATAATAACCTCTCAACATGCGATAGCACCGTGAATCCAAAAAAGTGTATAAATGACTTTAAACAATAAATATTAAATATATTCATTAAAATAAATTAACAAAGATAAGAAGAGTGCTATTATTCACAAGCAATGACATCCTCAGGGATGGGTAAGTGATAATTAAATATTTACAATTTCCTGTGCCTTTGACCTTGCAGTTTTCCTATCCAGCACTCCGGTAATCATTACCCGTGCATTGTCCTCAGTGCTGAATATTCCACCAGCGAGACGGGTGAGGATCAGATGTCTTAGCAATCACGGATGCCGCTTTCACAGGTGCCTGTTGCTGCTTCGTAGCAATTCCGGAAGCGCAGATAAACCCACAATCTCTCTCCAGGGTATCTCATTCCTTTTTTTATCCAATACATTTGAATAGCCGCCAACCTTCGTTAACAAAATTATTTGGCACATCCCGTGATGGGTACTGCAAGATCCGACCATGTCTGTCCAGTGCTCGCTAGGCTGCATCGGCTTGCGGTTGCTAAACGAATACATTTAAGGTCGCGCACATTACGCACAAAGTGCTCGCCACAAATGAACCACAATATCTTGCAAATCTTGTCAAGGAGCATACACCATCACGCAGATTCTGGTCACCCTCGCAGTGGCTTTTTGCAAGCCATTGAACAAAGAGGGCCAGTCCATCGCGTGCTTTCAGATGCGCTTCTGTGGCTGTCTGGAACCCTCTTCTGATATTAGGAGAGATGCAATTTTAAATCTAGGTTGAAAACTAATTTCTTTAGAACTGCTTTTTGTGTTAACTTTGTTTGTTGTTTTTCCCCTGCACCTCTGATTAGCACGGTTAGCTACATATGGTGCAAAAGAAGTTAAACATACATAAAGCAAGTAGAAATATAACACATTCCTGTGGAGGGAGCTGGTAGGAACGTTGGGTTGCTCGGTCAATGGCCAGGGTCAACAGCGGCGTGGTTTATTCCACAAATATGCCCGACTGTGAGGGCGGGCACAAGCCGGCGTGAGTAGGTTAAACGTTGAGTTTTATAAGGGCACCACGGGGTGACCAGCCCCTCCCCACCTAGCCCCACCCCTCCCACCCCCCACCCAGCCCCACCCAGCCCCTCCCCACCCTTCCCACCCAGCCCCTCCCCACCCTCCCCACCCAGCCCCAGCCCACCCTCCCCACCCAGCCCCACCCTCTCCACCCAGCCCCTCCCTCCCCACCCAGCCCCTCCCTGAACGATGGACGGACACAATAATCCCCTGTGGGCTGGTGGAACCAGGTGGTTCCTACCAGTAAAACTAAATATGAGTGGAAATACATACAGGGCAACTGTACACGTTTAAACATAAAGTGACATGTAGCTGATTTATGTTATCACTGACTGTTTTTATGAATTGTCAAGTGCTGGAATTAATTGTTTCTTGAATAAAAAATATTATAAATTATATAAATGAATATAAATAGAATAGTAGCAGTGCATTATTAATATTATTAAGATGAGATGTAAGGAAGGCAGTGTAATAGAGTTTTACGCTTATCAATACGTGTCACTTGTGGTTAGACTCATACCACACATATGCAGTTGTCAATATCAGGTCAATGTCTTTTTTACATTTATTAGCCAAAAGGGCACATAGCCAGGCACATTGTGTGGTAAATTGCAATATTTATGGTATCCAAGATACATTCATTGCATTTTTTTGAGGAGGTCTATACGTGGAATATATTTCAAGCTATTATGCATACATGGACAATACAGAAGCTTGTGTTGCCTCCGAAACGTCGTGATTTTTATTTTATTTTTTATTTTACTTTTATTAATTTAAATGTTTTACCTACGTGACTTTACCGAAAAAAACCTAAGAATATGAATACATGGACAAGATTGTTCAGCTGTTGTAGACAGATGTTTCGTGTTGAGGGACACTTATGACTCAGGAAAATAAGCAGTGACATTTTCAGGCAATGGTTCTCCGTTGAAGTTAAAATAGTTCATCCGAAGGGTCATAAACTAAACCCTTTTTGCTTGTTTTTCTTTATCACAGACTACGCATTTAACTTTCAAATGACGTTGGCCATAAGTGTTTCTATGTATAATGTAAACACTGGTATTTTTTTTCACACACCAAGGATTCTCTCACGAGCAAATATAAAACCTATTTTGCAGGATGTCCTTTCCTTTCATGCCTACAAAATTGTTAACTTTGAAACAAATATAGGTGACAGCACAGCTCACAATCACCTGCTTCTAGATAAATAAACTCACGATAGTTCCTTCAATTCTTTTTAGAGACTTGCTTCGTGTGCAGATATAATAGAAAATCATTCCTTCACACTGGCACACAATTGCTTGCTCATATTCAGAGTGACGGGGTCGTTTTGGACCCACAGTTTATAAGAGAAGACATGCCATATAACGACGCTACTTTAATGTCAAGACATTCTACTTCACATTATTTAGGAGTCAAGAGGCGACTTGAACCAGTCCAGAAACTGGCAAAGCTTTGAACCGTGAGGCAGAAATGCTTTACCTGAAGATATACATGTTATCCAGTTGCAACCAAGCCACATATATGATTAAATAAGAGTGCAAATTATAATAATTGACCGTTTGTTGTTAATCCACTGCTGGATGATGGATTCCTCATACTGTGTTGCTTGCAGGGTGGTTGTTTGACCAAATTCCACACCACATTGTGTGTATTGGTCAAAGACGGGTCCAGGACTAGTACAGATAGCTGTGGCCAGGAATCAAACTCGGGTAGCGATGCTCATAACACAGTACATGCTAACCACTGTGCCACCGTTCGATCTTAATTAGTGCTTATTGGACTTAAAATTAGAATACTAAATTAGAGTGTTTAAATGCACATGACATTATTCATTATATTGGCTCCATATTTTGCATGTCATGGCTCGCCATGTTGGAATTTATACAGGACAGAGTGCACAATATTTCAATTTTTCAGTTTAAAAAAATAAATACGTTGTGTTTTGGTACACGTTATAGGAGCAGACTTGCAAAATCACTGGTACTCGTTGAGTTTTGTCAAATGAGTGACACAAAAAAGTTAAACAAAGCTTAAAAGCTAATTCTATTGCAAGCATGAGCCAGCCCCATCAGTCGACACAGATTTACCAGAGATTTGACAAAGCACACACTGTGGGTAGATTGTGCTTAGAACTGGCCAATTGGCCCAACTCAGGATTGGAAGGTTGTGGATTCAAATATTGGTCAGGGGTCGAGACAACGTATCATTTCACTACGGTCAACAAAATGACCATTGCTTTGTGACAACAGTGATTATACTGTGGTCCTGCCAGAGGAATATAGAATTTTCCATCCACCGGCTCAGGGCCACCACCAATCACCCGAGGCTTATTTGAGCAGGGAGACTCTTCAACATTGACGTTTGAATTTAGATGAGATCCAGATCCGATGCGACCACATATCCTCCTGCGTGTCTGATTGAAAGCTGTGTAATGCACTGTGGGTAACTGTTTTGCGTTGTGTGAGCAGGGGCCGTGTACATACTAATCAATGCTGACACCCAAATTTGTAGCAAAATATAATCGCTCTGACATTGCATGAACTGCTTTGATGTAGTGTGATTGTGTACAATAAAAGTTAATGCGGCTGTTTGTACATTGTTAATCAATTTAATGTTCAACATTTACAATGATAATGCACATGTCCAATGTGTTATAATGATATAAATGTAAAACATATATAACAAGATTTTTTATACTTTTGAAATGAATGTATATTTTTTGGGCAAGAATAGAATTGCAAGCATGCTTGGTCTAGCTGTATACGATCACTGTGAGAGATAGGGCATATTATTTTTTGATGCACGATTGTCATTTATTTCTACTCTAAAAGCATAGAGAAGCAGAGTATATTTGAACTGCATAATGTGTTCACTGATAAAAGGAATTGATGGTTAAAACATGTTTCAGATATTGTACAATCAGTACAATATAAAATTGTATATTTTTCAATGAAAGGTGCATACAAATTGACAATTATCGTGGCTTAAATGAATGTTTAAATTAATGTGTTTTTGCATTCTCTTTGTATGCACATTTGAATCATGTTTTTAAATTAATTACCAGTTTTATCACTTGAGTGGTGTATGGGGAATAACAAACACAGCTTCTCACTATTTTTGTATTTGTTGATTGGCCTCTGAAAACATTATTGACAGTTTCATTGTTTCTTCACACCTAGGATGCCTCAATAGCTCACAGATTTCACCTGATGAGAGAGAAGCACCCAGAGAAATTCAACAGCCGGTAAGATCACACACATCCTCTAGGGTCCTCATTCAAACAGTCATCGTTATGGTCTAGCCAGGGTGTCATTAAAGTCATTTCAAGAGCTGTGAATATGTATATTAACATTTGTTATATATTTTGATGTCGAAACATTTTTTAAAAGACATGCTTACGAGATTAATTTTATATAACCATGACAACATTTCTCGATTTTTCTGTGTGTACCATAATATTTATAACTTACATTTTTTTGGTAATCCACTGCTGGATGAAGGCCTACCCATGCCATGTTGTTCATGGGTGTTATTTGACCATACTTCACCACACTAGTCATTGCAGGTTATTTCATAACCAGTTCCAATATCACCTCACTATTAGCTCTGGCCAGGAATCAAACTCAGATCTCTGAGTTCATAGAGCAGTGTGCTAACCACTATGCCACCATTCCACTCCATGAGCGTGCAAATATTCCATACAGTTGAATTTGGATAGCAGGGATCGCTACTTATTTATAGACAAAGAAACGACTATACTGGTTCATCTTCCAGATACACCTATTTTTAAATTATGATCCTGTATCCATTTACTTTGAAGAAGCAAGGACATGTTGTTTAACGCATCTAACGTTATATAGTAATTTATTCCAAAGTTAATGGGAAAGTGGTTACAATTTTTTATTTTCAGTAGCTTACTTAGTAATTACTATTGATAATTCCTTTTTGTATTTATCACCTTCCAAGCGCTTGTCTAAATTTAACACGCCTGCTTTTGCATGCATACATTGGCTGGTACTGTACGCATAACAACTGTGGCCATCTTGCCAGTAGAGCTTCACATAGTGTGTATGAGCCATTCTTTTTTAAGGTTTGAAAGTGGTTGCGAGAAGACCTGTGTATTCGTCACTTTATAATAAAACAGCATTTCATGAAAGTGCGTTTCATGGCTTGAAGTTTGGAAAGTTTAAACAATGTTGTGGCAATGTATTTAGTAAAACAAAAACAGTTGGTTTAGCAATTTGAATGACTTAAACAAAAAAACTGCAAATCAGGTGAAACGTGTTTTACTTTTGTGATTCGCTTTTTATGCCCCACCAAAATAATGTATCGTCATCAGAAGCAATACGGCTCGCCAGAATATAGAATGTTTATTTCACATTTTGACTTCAAACTTTCGTGACTGCAGGAATTAATATTCTTCGGTTCGATCGTAACACAAGCGGACGACTGCTTGTGTTGCTTGCTACAGCAGCCCTTTTGCCCACTTCAGCAATTGTTTCTTGCTCTGGTTGTCCCACCTGATGGCGGGCGCTTTTGTTGCACCCGAAACGTCGTGATTTTATTTTATTTGATACCTACGTGACTTTACCGAAAGAACCAAAGAGTATGGATCCCTGCAGTCACGAAAACTTCAAATCTAGATTAGTCACTTTATTTTTATTTTTTCTATCTACGTAACTTTACCAAAAGAACCAAAGACTATGTTTCTTTAACATGTTTTCATTGTTATGTAAGCCTTATTAGCAATCATTGTAAATATACTTAAACCACTTACTGGCCTCAAATACATTAAAACACCAAGTTGTGATCAAGACCCTAAGTTATCCGTTGAAAGGCTAATTTCTCTGCTCCAGCAGCTGCCCCAGCAGACCCACCTCTCTCTCTGCCCCCCCCCCCCCGTCTATTCAAGGCCTCGACACAGAGGCATTGTGTCTCTGTGTGTCTATGTTGTGTGTCTCTCTGTGTGTGTCTATGTTGTGTGTCTCTCTCTGTGTGTGTCTGTGTTGTGTGTCTCTCTCTGTGTGTGTCTGTGTTGTGTGTCTCTCTCTGTGTGTGTCTGTGTTGTGTGTCTCTCTCTGTGTGTGTCTGTGTTGTGTGTCTCTCTCTGTGTGTCTGTTGTGTGTCTCTCTGTGTGTGTCTCTGTGTTGTCTCTCTCTCGGTTTGTGTGTCTGTCTCCGTGTCTGTGTTTTGTCTCTCTCTCAAATGTAGTTCTACCTGATGACGGTTACTTGTGTTGCAATCGAAACCTCGTACTCTATGATTTTATTAATTTTATTTCTACGTGACTTTACCGAAATAACCAAAGAGTACAGATATTTATACTTTTCTTAAATGCTATGCACATTACGTTTTTTAAGTTCACACCAGTTACAAAATCAGACATATATACAAAAAAATATTGCACCTACATTCTATTCTGGGGGATATATATTTTTTCAGAGAATCTAGTCATGAAACTGGTAAATAATGGCATCTTAAATGCCACAGGACTCTTTATTTTAACACGCACTGTCACACAGGCGAGAGAGAACGGAACGTGATCGAAGCACAACCGTTGGATCATCATGCAGCTGCAAGGCATGACTGGGAAAGCCAGTGAGAGTAATCAAACCAACTTAACCTCTGAAGCTAAGTGTACGTTGTTGGCCGCCCATGGCTCAGCTGTCATGCTCCCATCTACAACACTTTGGGTGTTTGTAGCAGTTGATAGCTAGAATGCCGATAAGCTCTCATGAAATGTATTTGTATCTCCCCATTCAGCAGACTGCCCATATTGTTGTTCTTTAATACCTGTTAAGATATAGGGTTGAACAAACATGTTCAGTTTAACACGTAGGCTTTCGCGACCAATGTTATTCATAATCAACGTTTTTGGGTTTAGATCGCGTTATTTATAAATGTGTCGGGTGGTGGAGGGTTACGACACATTTATAAATAACGCGATCTAAACCCAAAAACGTTGATTATGAAAAACATGTTCAACTTGAAAAGTTACAGTTTTCTATTTCATATATGTTCTTACCGTGTATCAGTTTACCCTCCAATAACTTTTGTGGACTCAAGAAAAAAGTGCACAACAGTTACAGGCTTTTGCAACTTCTATTATAGAAGATAGAGAATTATAAATTAACTTGGTGATATTTATGCATGTCAGAGGTTCTCCAAGTTAAAATATAAAAGTGTCTCATAAAAGCTGAAATCTAGATGTAAATGCATAGTATTGCAATTCCATGACCCTCTCCCTGTCAGGTATATTGATATTGTAAGGTGTTCTCTAAGCTGGTGAGCTCTTAAAAAAACTATAAAAAATCCACCACTGACTACAAATAGTGTATTTCATGCACACCTCATAACTGTATGCTGGATAGCAGACAGAAGCGTATGGCTGCAAGCAAATATGCCGTGGTGGTGCAAGTTTCACATTAATAATGAATTACTGCAGGGATATTTTCATGAGGACCTTAAAAAATGGAAACAAATGACACATTTTTAAATGTACTCAAGGTAATTTATTGTGATGTATCTTTCAGGAAAATTGAAATGAATTAAAACACAATTATTGACTAATATCTCAATTCAACCTTTGATAAATAAAGTAAAATGTAGTATATTTGTCGAATTATGAAGATGGATCAACCTATAACATATATAAACATTCCCAATTAGCATAAGCAAGCAGAATGTTCAGTTCACAAAGTGTAGAAAATATATTCTGTATTTAAAAAAATGATGTGTTTCTCGAGGCCCGTAGACCCGTCAAGAGTGAGAGAATCGCTTAACTAACAGTGTGTTCCTTTCCACCAATGCTTCTCAAAATAGAACAAAGAATCCTGCAGTTCCCTGACAGTGCCAGTCTGATGTTTCACATTGGTTTTCCCTCTGGTGAGGAAGCTTCCATTTCAGACGACTAAATTCCCTATCGTAGTGGGCGATGTGAAAGAAAAAAAAATCCACCACGACATTTTACGTGGTATTAAGCTGGTGTGTTACAATAGGTGTGAATTGACTAACACGACCTCGAATAACAGATTAGAAGTGCTTTAAAAATGTTTAACTGATATGTACATTTCAGCATTGAAATACTCACTTCCTTTTCATATCTGTTACTGTAATTACATTTTTCTGAATGTTTTTTTTTCTCAAGAAGCCCATCAATGCTTATTTAAAACTGCATTCGAAGTTGTGTTAGAAACCTAAATTATAGGAATTAAAATATAAACAGGCCCAAATTTTGCTTAGACAGGCAACAGGGGTATATGTTGGCCTCATATGCCTGCATGTTTTCAAAGTGTCACGTAGCAAGCCAATAGAAATACACATGTGCTTTTAATGTTTGAGGTGGTATGTTGGCATTAGAAGAGATGTGCACATTATATAACAACAAATAGAAAGTGTGCCCCAGAGTTCTTCAATGCTCATTCTGAATGTGAGAATATTTATTTAAATCAAGGTAAGGTTTTGCTGGGTTTGTGTTGCTGTGGGGCTTGGGACATGTAAATAGAGTGACTCGTCCCTAATTGCTGTGATGAGAGAACACGTTGTTCTGACATTTGTAGGGCAATAGGGCTTTCACAAGCATCTCTCGGCTGTCTTTCTTAAAAAAATATTATGCCAGCACGTCACCAAGACGTACAGCAGCTATATAATAATGTGGTTATCATGCAATAATCGCACTATAATGAACAGAAGTGGTAAAAGTTCAGTGGCTATAACATCTCAACAAAAGAGTGAAAAAAAATCACATTATGCTGATGAACACTTAGAAGCATGGACACTTATTAAGGCTCTGCTTCATGCCGTGGACAATGTGAAACTTCCACCATTTGCTCAGGGTGACTGATATAGATTAGCGCCACTGAACACTCGCTTGAGCAAAGAGCCAATATGACTTGTGAAGAACAGCTCGTGTTAACAGAATATATACTTCCACATTAGTGCCTGTGTGACCTAAGCAGCTGTGGATGCCACGATCCTCTCCTTGGTAATCTGGGTACAAGGGGTTGTTTTATATGACAGTTGCTAAGCAAAGTATCCACGTTGGTAAAATGTGAGATAATTAATTAAACTGTAAGGAAATAAGTGTTCTTCAAAGCACCATTGTGAACTATTGCCATACATTTACATGGCTATCTGGTACAGAAAATCAGGCTGTTGCCCTCACTGTTGTCCGCAGAGCTTGTTGACATATTTCTGTGCGTATGTGAATGGTAGCACCGCCTGCAAGTGGAGTTTCTATTGGTACTCTAATTTCCTCCCACATGCAACAAAACAGTTTATTTGCCAAGCATCACCAACATAGCCCTCCTGAAAATAAGAGTCTTTGGGCTCAGTGAGGTTTTCCTGAACAATTAACATTCAAGATCGTGATCCACGGTCAGTCCACTGCGGGCTGCAGGCCTCCCCAGGCTTCTGCCATCTCTCACAACCCTGGGATCGTGTAGAACAAAGTCAATCCACCGAGCAACTGCACACGAGCTGATTTCATTGCTCTGTCTCCCCCATTGGATGTCTTCTCCAAAGTGGTTCCTTCCATGTCTGCCACTCCATCATTGTTCTTTGACCATCGTCTCTTTGAGTGACATATCATGTTCGAGCACGCGTACTTTTTTTTTTAGCAGTTTGAATGATGTCATTCATCTAGGGTTCTAGGCGTATTCTCTAATCCAGTCAAATTGATTCTGCGAACAATAATAGTTAAATTTATAATTCAGCCTCTGAAGATGTTTTTTACAGAGGTGTTACGGCTGAATCTTCTTACTTTACATGTTTAGAACATTCGAGTAAATTATATGATGCATATCGCACTGACACCCCACCCAATATTTTGTCTATTTCACTGGTCAACAAAAAAAAAACTTTTTTTTCTGGCCTGGACTTTTGCAGCTGTTTTAGACTAATTTCAGGGCGCTGATTCCAAATCTGATCTCAGATTTGCTCTATCACATCTCATTTTTATGCTATCGGCATACCCCATTTTCATTGATTTTACCCGAAATTAACTCTGTCACTTATGATTGCAAGTTGTTGCGAGTCAGTGACTGCTTTAGTGTTAAAATATGGTGCTGTATTTTTAGGATAGTGTGTTTATAATATCATTTTATGTAGATATCCACATTTATTTAATATTTTTCTTCTGCAGTTTTTATTTTTGGAATCAGCACCCCAAATTTACCTTAAACCCGTTGGAATACCTTATGCCAGAAAAAGTGTGTTGACCAGTGTTTTCATTGTTGCAAGAGTGGTTAAATCTGCTTCTGTCAAAATCGACTGGAGAGATTTTGTTTACATTCAGCCCGTGTTGTCAGGCTTGGCTTTATTCCATTCATGATGCATTCACAGTCCCCAATGCTAAGTGCTCACACATCAAGGAGCATGCTGCTGAGTCCATTTATAAAGTAAAACAGTAATGCATCACACCTTCCAAAGCAGTTTCTGTGACTGACCGTGTTAGGCTTAATATAAGATCAGCCAACTCATATTCCACTCAATAAAATTCTGGGTCTTGGTACATTTATTTACACAATTAACGCCTCTGTTAAGTATATTTTATGGAACTGTAATGCCAAAACTTGTTATAAGTGCTGTGCTGTCCCCTGCAGTTCCTAAAAAAAACCATGACCGTTTTTGAGCATATTTCTTAGAGATGGCAAAGATGTGGGGAAACCCTCAGCCAGCAGTGGATTGATGGATTGATCATGGCTGTTGATAATCATGATGACCATGATATTATATAATACACTATCCAGTAATATATCGAACCCGGCAACTCGAGTTCGATTCCCGCTCACGGCCACCACCGGTGACGATTATTTCAACCGGTTCTGGGCCTCCCCTAGGTTGACTCAGCCTCAAACGAGTAACTGGTGTGGTGTGTGAACATCTCCACTGGGGGGACAAAGGCGGCCGGGCGTGGTGCTGGCCACCCACCCCCTCGTGTGCCGTGCCGGCCTTCATAGGCGCTCGCTAACAGCACTTGCCCCCTACAGTCTCACAGGCTACACGGGGGAGCTTTGTCTTTATCTTTGTGTGTGTGTGGGGGGGGGGGGGGCAGCGACTGCGTAGCGATTCGTGCGCTGCGTTACGAACCCGGCGACCCGAGTTCGATTCCCGCTCACGGCCACCACCGGTGACGATTATTTGAACCGGTCCTGGACCTCCCCTAGGTCGACTCGGCCTTGTGTTTTTAAAGAGACATTTCCAAATAACAGTTTTGAAAGGATATGTTTTCAGACAAATACGGACACATTTAGTGCATGAAAAAATACCAATGCAACATTGAATTTAGGCATACATTGGGTTGTCATGCAATAACGGATGCTGTGTATACTTCATATTATATTGATGATAATATTATTTACATGCTTCTTTATACATATTAAATGTCTACAAGGCATATTTATAATGACTTGCCAGTGCCTAACTGGCCCGTGTTATACTGATGGCTGATGTATGTTGTGCTTTGTTCGGGTTAGGTTTACAAAAAATGGTAAAATAAAAAAGACGTACAGCAAACAAGAAGCTTCAATTGAGCCGTACCCAATGGTAATTAGTGAGTTTGCTTTGTCCGAAACGATAATATTGAATTAAACAATATCAGTCCAATTAATACATTACACTACAATTTGGAGATGTCTTAGGGATGGCAACTGCATCTGAAGACGCTGTACAAAACAATGTGCCGTACAAATGGAGTTGTTGCATATGTGTATAAAGCATATGTTTAGCTTTTCAGTAACATTGATTTAAAATAATTTGCATGATTTTCACATTTTCTACCGGAATACAGGATGAAGAACAAGCTGTGGTACTTTGAATTTGGGACATCAGAGACGCTGTTTGCTACCTGCAAGAAGCTCTACGAGTTCATGGAGGTGGAGGTGAGAATGGGATTTGTGACATCGACATCATCGTCATACGTTTGCTGAAAATGAACACACACCAGTCATGCGCGACATGAGGATTGCACGCAGTTCTACTGCATAGGAAAGACGCAATTGAGATCAGTGTTTGTCATTGCTCCGTGTAAGGCGCTAAGCTCTACAACAATATCCTGCCTGTGCGTAGACAGACTGGTTAGTTTACATAGTGTCGTTCATGGAAATTGCATTATATTGTGTCGGTCATGCAAATTGCAATTGCTGAGGAAACACAGACAAGCAGGAAGGCAGCCAGGCAAGTGGTCAGCCGGTGCCAACAATTGTCTAAGCTCTGCAGTCTTCTATGTATGAAGATGTTTTTAACCAATTAATGAGTGTTTTTTATAACAGTAATTTACTTACTTTTTAGGAAAGTCGCAGCATTCTTCTTTTTTTAGGAAGGTTCCTGGATTGAGATTTTTAAAGTGTTTTCAACAAATTATTGAGTGGTTATACATGCGGGAGGAAACTGGAGCACCCGGAGAAAACCCATGTGTGCAAGGAGGGGAAACATTACCTCCCCGTGCAGATGGAAATGGATGGAGGTTTGTCCGTTTGCTGTACTGCCTTCTCCTGGCAAGCTAGGATATGACACCTCGACGCCTATGGGAAAGGAATTTCACGAGATTTTTGTGATCCACCAGCCATCAACAGTGCTGGATTGCAGGCCACGTGGCAGCACAGCCACCACCAGACAGTGTTCTCCATCACATTGCCTCTCTGTGAGAAATAACCTTAGAGCTCATCGGATTCAAATTTTGATTTAAAGCTTTCGTGACTGCAGGGATTAATATTCTTGGTTCTTTCGGTAAAGTCACGTAGAAGGGTTTTATTTTAACGTTAATAAAAAAAACGCCACTTTTTAAAAAAAAATTCTTGCCATGGTTTTCACACCTGATGACGATTGCTTGTGTTGCAATCGAAACGTCGTGAGAATGTTATTGTTTTATTTTTATTATTTTATTATTTCCCTTCTACGTGACTTTACCGAAAGAACCAAGAATATGAATACTCATCGGATTCCTTCAGTGTCAATAAAGATTTTGATTCTCATTATTATTTGTGTTCCGTGCTTGACTGCCATGAATCGACAAAAAAAACGTCCAGTGTTAGGCAGAAGATGGCGACCATGTATGAATACCATTTGATATGTGGTGCAGGGCAGTCAACGAACATTGGTAACTCCCCATGTCCATTTGAGCAATGATACACATTTGGATTTTATTTTTGCGTGGCTTCCCTTAAAGTCGTCATTTGTTTTTCGAAGAAGAAAAACAGGAAATGTGTTAAACGTCCGATATGAAGTGAACTTGGGAGCAACGCTCGGTGTACTATCTGAAGTGTGCTTGTATCACGAGTTGCCCATCACCTTCCACTCCATCAGTGTGAAGTAAGGATGTGTTCCTAGGATCAGAACTGTGCTCATATCCATCTTCTATTTTAATACAATTTCAAATGGGCAAGGGAAGTTTTTTTTCCATCAGGGATTGATAAACATTGTCCACGCACCAACAGGTACACATGTATAAAATATGACTATTTTTTCCAGGCTGCTCTGTATCCTTCGGGCCAGCAATTAGGGTCACTTTATAATCATGTGTGAGCTCGTTGAGACAAGTCGTATTTTCAAGGAAAAGTTTCAAAGCAAATTTAGTACCGCGAACCACATGTTTTGCAGCACAAATGTGGTTTGGAATGAACAAAACAACATGCAAGTTTGTATGTTATGTTAAACTAATAGAGTAATAAAACATAATTTAAATACAAAAATACTACAGATTATGCACAAAGGGAATAACGATGACTATAAGTCATAAAATGTAATCCTGTAATTCAATTTAAATGCAATATAATTGGGGTAATTACGATTGGTTTTCTATGTGAGTAGCTTTTAAAACATTCAGTTCGGATGGCCAAATAGATATTCGATTTGTGAAATATAATCTGACTGAGATGGTGCAATAAAAAAGTGAAGTGCCAACACAATATTATTCCGTATAACTGAAGCATTATACATGCAACACAAGGCACATTTTTTCACATTAAGGACTTAGATTTAGCGTGAAAGTGGCAAACACTTTGTCTGGCCAATTGAAGAAACTGTTTTCTCTTGTGACTCAGGTGCACATCACATTGAAGACTCATTTCTTTAGAACTGCTTTTAGCGTCTAGTTTGTTGTCCTTCCCCTGCACCTCCGATTAGCACGGTTGGCTACGTATGGTGCAAAAGAAGTTTGACGTACGTACGTCAACATACATGCATACAGCAGTGGGCCGTGCCATTGACCTGGGTGGCTCCTACCTCCGTGCCTTCTCTAACACGGAGCAATTGACTGCTTTTGCTTGAATTCACAAATAAAAACTGGGCCTAGAAATAGCATGAATGTGACTGTCATGAATGTCCTCATAAATAGGGGTCTAAATAATTAAGGTCAATGTTTCTCGTTATCAATTCAGTAAAGTAAATGGGGAAAAAATCGAACGCAAGGCACTTAATAGGAATCCTCATGAGATTAATTGATTGGTTGCCCATGCGTTTTTCTCCCTCCAACAGTGTATTTATGCATGCGGTACAGTGTTAAGCAACTCTGCAAGGAAAAGCCATGTAATATCGCACTTAATATGAAGAGTGAAGGGGAGCTCCGCAGCTGAGCTTGCGTTTTACTCCCGCAATTTGGACACAATGATTTTTACATTCTCTAAATGCATATGAAGTCAATGTGTGTGTGTCGGTAAAATCGATGGTTAAAAAACTAAGTTATTTTGTAAATACGTGGGGTTTTTTCATGGGGTTTCGATGGTGGCAGAGAGGTAGGGGTGACATTTAGAGTGATATGCAAGAAAAATATTGCTTATATTAGTTGCCGATGAAAGTAAGAGAAGCACGGCTATTGAGCAAGTAGAACTTGTGATGAAGACTTAACCTGCCTCCACCTTCGTCGTCGTGGCTAAAGAAATGTCTTCACCACAGCTCAACTGAGATGGCGCTTTCAGCCATTGCCGCATTAACTTCATCTCTTTGGCTGAGTACGCTTGTCTTTTCGGAGCTTGAGTGCAACCAAATTTAAGTGTGAACACCAACACATTAAAATTTTGCAAGTTACATCTAATCTAAGCGGTGTAAAGTAAAGAAGTAACGATGCTGTTACCATCACACAGTGCATGGGAAGAGCCCAGTAAAGTGGAAAGCGCATTTTCATTTTATATCACAGGGCACTTAAACCCAAGATCACGTAGTTGTTGGCCCCATTCCCTCAAATGAACGTTGGCCCCAAGACATCCAGCCACCTTGTCACTTTTAGTAATTTAGTTTCTTAAATTAAACTTTTAAGGTTGAAAAATTGCCACAGCTGGATGTAAGATCAAAGGCTTCTAGGCCTGGCTGACTCTTGCCTATTTTTTGCATTCCTTCGTAAGAATAATGAGCGCGTAGAGAGAGCAGCAGATACGAAAAGCATGCCCGGGCACACAGCTGGGAGGCTGCTGCTGCTGCTGACTGAATATTACTGTATTTTTAAAAATGACAGAACACAAGCCAGGACCAAAAAAAAGTAGGTTGACTGCCAACATTTAACAAGTTGAATGAACATCCGGGTAAACACTATCCTTTATAGTTTTTTTTTACAAGTTTGGGTATGTTTGTTGCTTAAATTCTAGGAGAAAGCTGTGAAGGGTGAATATATTATCCGTAACAATATAATAGGAGACTATTATACCTACAGAGTTTCTTTGATCTCAGACATTTAAACGTAATAAAATTTTGTGTATTTGCACAGGGTGTTGTATTTTTGGTGGATCGAGAACGATTTAAAATGTCACGTGGACACCGTCCTTGTTGAAGGTTGAAGGTGTGACCTGACATCTTGTCATACATTTTGCCAATCACCAGTGGGATTTTGTACGTAACCATTTTCAAAGGGGAACTGAAGCCTTAGTAAACCAGGTTAATGCGTAATGTTATGTATGCAGAGGAAGGCAGGTATATTTACATTTACTGCAGTGCATAACCATGTGCTATGGCATTGTTAGAAAAAGAGTAACGATTTCAAGGCATGCTGACGGGTAGCAACAAGCAATCCTGGCCATTGTGCATTAGTTTAAGTACCACGTGATTGATGGCAAGGTCACAGGGTGAGGACAAACTATATTCTTATGCGTTTTTCTGAGGAGGACCAAATGTGTTTAGATATGTAAGCCATAAAATCGGGCACACTTACATAATGCAGTACAATAATGAAAGGCAGTATATTACATTTGTGTCCACAATGTTTTTTTTTCTTTTAACATGCCCGCTAAAGTGCCATAACCACGTTGCGATAGGGCCAGTAAGCACTGGTCAACCAGCATCTGTCTGTGCAGACATGGCACTTGCTGTGTTGCAGAACCATCTACTCAAAAAACGGGCCGTACCCATGATGGCACCACTTAGTTTAGGGCGATTATGACCAAAGCTAATTCAGGAACGCTTTGTTATTTGCTTGACCTTGCCGATGCACCATGTGAGGGGCACTCCGCTAAAGTATACGATCGAAAGAGTGTTGCTTTAGTAGATTTCTCACCCATCTGTACGGCATTTTAGAGGTTCAACGGTGGGTTCCTCATTCTAGATGTGAAATACTCGAGAAAGAAACTGGTAAAGCTTCTCGACATGGGACACTAACTTCATAAAATAAAGTCTTGAGACACACAGAAGCTTTCATAGATAAATTAATAATGATCACTGTCATAAAGTGTCTTGTTGCTTGATATAATGCATGGGAATTACACCCAGTGTTTATTATCGAGGTAATTACTTTATAGAATAAGTTACGCAATGGAATACTTTTTGTTCGAAGATGTTAGCACGCGGGCTGATCAATGTGACACACGTCCATTTTTTTTCCTCAGCTGCTTCTGCACATTTCTCACATTTCGTACAATGCAACACTTTTTCTTTGAACAGTGAATGTTACGTTTCTTGATGGCTCAAGGCCTGGGAAAAAATAACCCAACATAGTTATTCATATTTTGGGAAATGTTAACATTAATTGAAAATAAATAACTGAAACATTACATGCATGTCCTGATAAACAGTGAGTCCCATATGCAAAATTACAATATAACATCGTGGTGTGTTTAGAAAAGGAGAGCCTTGTCGATGAAAAAAAAATAGCATTTCTGAAGCCACGTCTATGCATATAGCTCACAAACAAACGCTTAATTGACATGTTACATCATTAAACACGAGTGCAAACATGAAAACAGCTTTGGATTGAGACGAGGCTCAAAAGAAAGCTGTTTCTGGTGTGGACCAATCAGTTTCAAAGACAATGCATTTATTATCAGAGTGTTTTTTGTTTGCATTTTGACCACAAGCATGTCTGACATGATTCTTTGTAAAAGGTTTTAGTTTTGTGTTTTAACCACTTAACACCTGTTTTGTGGCCAGATAGAAGGGGAAAAAACCTATTTTCAGCTTTGGATTGTTGATCAACTGAATGGGGAAAAAGCCTGTAAAGAGGATTTTGTTTCTTAAAAGCATATTAACATTCCAGAAACATGGGGAAACTCAAGAGTGATCTTTTATTCCCAGCTGATTTTATTCATTTCAATGAACATCCATTTTTAGTTTTTTATATAAATACTGAGCTGGGTACTTAACGGGGCTGACGTGGTGACAGCATTGAGGAGAGCGGATATTGTGCAGCAGATATAAATGCGCCATGATACAAACATTTTCATTATAGACTGAAATAAAATGCAACTGCCACTGTGCTCATATGCAAATAATTAATACTGGTAGGAACCTCCTGGTTACACCAGCCCACAGGGGATTATTGTGTCCATCCGTCGTGCAGGGAAGGGCTGGGTGGGGAGGGAGGGGCTGGGTGGGGAGGGTGGGGAGGGGCTAAGTGGGGAGGGTGGGGCTGGGTGGGGAGGGTGGGGAGGGGCTGGGTGGGGGGTGGGAGGGGTGGGGCTAGGTGGGGAGGGGCTGATCACCCCGTGGTGCCCTTCTAAAACTCAACGTTTAACCTACTCACGCCGGCTTGTGCCCGCCCTCACAGTCGGCCCTATTTGCGGAATACACCACGCCGCCGTTGACCCTGGCCATTGACCGAGCAACCCAACGTTCCTACCAGCTCCCTCCGCAGGAATGTGTTTTATTCTGGCTGCCCTTGTTTACGGCAATTATAGTGGAGCAATCACGAGTTTTCAAAGGAAAATAAATGGATTTAAAGGCTTGATTGGTGTGGAAAATTCTTTTTTTGCAGGTCAACATTTATTTGTCGTCCAACATGCGCCTTTCGGCTTTGCACGCTCACCTACTATGTAAATGTTGTGATTCCCTTTCAGATGCGACTAGAGTGGTGTTCTTTATTGCACGGCCTGCGGGCATCTGGCAGACAATGGTGGCCTTTAGTGAGACTCCCGAAAATACACACATGTGAAAAAACGTCCATAATGCTGTCAAACTCAATGGTTTCAAATGTGCGACGGCCCTCACACTATCTGCGAAAGTGCCCCCCCCCCTCTGAAACTTAGTGAAGAACACTGGACTAGAGCGTTGACCAAGGATTTGTATGCCACGCATCCCCTTGTGCCAGTGTGACGGCGTGCAGCTGGATCTGGCCAACAGTTCTCTGGAGGGCATCACAGTGCTGAACATTCCGAGCATGCACGGCGGCTCCAACCTCTGGGGGGAGACCAACACTCGACGGGTCAGCCGACGCAGCAGCATGCGGAGGAGTGGCCGAGAGAAGGTTCAAGCCACCATTGCCGACCAGCGCGAACTCAAGTTCTGCCAGCAAGGTCATTGCAATCACTCGTGTGCACTCAACACAAAGATCCCCCGTATAGGCAAAACAGACTTTTGGCTCAAGTGGTGTTCGCAAGCACCTATGAATTTCGATTTAAAGCTTTCGTGACTGCAGGGATTCATCTTCTTGGTTCTTTTGGTAAAGTCACGACAGAGACAAAGTCATTCAGACTCTGTCTTCTCGACAGACCTGTTCTTCACCTGAGGACGGCTGCTTGCGTTGTGGCCGAAACGTCGTGAGAATTATTTTATAATGTTTTATTTATTTATTTTATTATTTCCCTTCTACGTGACTTTACCGAAAGAACCAAGAAGATGAATCCCTGCAGTCACGAAAGCTTTAAATCGAAATTTATGGAATTATTATTTAGGGATGTACATCCATCGTGTCGGCAGCAAGTGGTGTTCGCAAGCGCCTTTGAAGTCCGGCATGGGACACATGAGGGGGTGGATGGCCAGCACCATGCCCGGCTGCCTTTGTCTCCTTAGTGGCGATGTTTGCACACTGTGCTAGGTACTAATTTTGAGGCTGAGTTAACCTAGGAGAGGCCCAGAACCAGTTCAGATGATATTAATTATTTTTTTTCGGGTTTGCCGGGTTCGTATTGCAGTATGCTAACCACTACGCTACCACTCCCCACACACATCAGCGTATGTCCACCAGCACGCATGATCACACACGTATCACATGTGTGATTGTCCAAATGTGTTTGTGTGAGCACATGAACACTGCCTTAGGGGGTCTCATGCTCCATTCCTTGCACTCGCAAATGATCCATTCCTCATGTTTACCAATATTCCTCATTTATATGTAAATAAGGTCATGATGTGTTGCGCACAACTGTTGATTGGGGAAAATGGAAAATGTTGACCCTGTGAAAGCACACGAGCAGTTGTCTGAGGTGTGTTACACTCACCACCTGCATGAACTGACACACGCACTGTGCACCAAAAGCACACAAACACGGATTTAAACTGAACTGATCCCTGAACATACTGGGGGGGAGCGGTGGCGCAGTGGTTTGCACACTTTGCTATAAACCCAGTGACATGAGCTTGATTCCTCGTGCCGGCTTACATCAGTGACGAGCGTAATATCTGAATTTGTCCTGGGCCCTCCCCCACAATCCTCCTCCCCATCCTCCTTTCACAAACTCACACCGTCCAGCAGTGAATTGACAAAAGGTTGCTGAGGTTCATGTAATGTTTTTACTGTTAAAAAATATTGTACGTGCATAAAGATGTTAAATTATGCAGGAAAGACTCAAACCCTTTTCAGTTGAGTCATTAATTTTAATGTCTGGCCAATTCATGTTTAATAAGTGCTTTACATGTACGGTATAACCAAAAAATCACCAGTCTGTTTGACCGAGCATGAATACGTGTATATATATACATATAGAGTGGAAATTAGATATTGTATTGGTGACTCACTCAAACCCTCCTGGACTATGTTAGCAACATCTACACACCTTTGTTCTACACGTCACATTTCCATGATCACTGGCAACAGAGATTGGTTGGCCAGGAACAACCCAGGATCAGCACCACATAGCAGACCCATGTTCCTTCTACGTCATGAGCCACACGGCTTCATCCCTTTCACTCTCTTCCTCTCTATTATGGGAAGTTGTTTTTAAAATGCAAAGTGTTTTTAAACATACAATTAATAGAGTCTTGGATGACGATACGAACCCAAGCTACAATGTCTTATTTTGTATTTTTCTTCTTTCGTATGGCATTGTGAAAAGCAGCAGTTTAGATTTTTTCTCAATGACCATCATAAATGAATGCAAAGGTTCCTCATCCAGTCCAATGATGTGGTTGACGCAGTGTGGATTTCAGCGATACCGCCAGGATGTGCATGGATGGATCATTCATCGGTGATGTGCTTGATGGTTTGGACTTCTCCACAGTCGCAGTTGGGCGATTTTTGATCTTCCATTTATGGAATGTGTAAGCGCATCTGCCGTGTTGTGTTCGAGCGCAGTTCAATGTGATTCATAGTCGTTGTGGAAGAGAGAATCCCGGTATTTTTACCGCCGGATCGTAAATGATGTTTTTGTTTGCCACGTCCATCGCCGCCCATAATTCAGACCACCAAGTGGCAGTGTCTCTAATGTTTGTAGCTGACGCTGAGTAGGGAGATAGGGCGGTAGTTTTGAGCGTCCGATGCGTCCTTGCCTGGTTTCAGAATGGCTATTATCCTTGCCTCTTTCCACTCTTTCGAAATGATGCTTGTGGAATGGATATCAGTAAAGAATGTGGCTAGCCATTTTCTTGCTCTTGGTCCCAAGTTCTTGATGAATTCTGGATAAATATTGTCAAGACCTGAGGCTTTCCCGCATTTCAACTGGGCAATACCGGCATCTACTTCCTCCACTGAGAATGGACGGGAGAATTCAGAGGTTTTTTGGCAGCTATCTAGTGTGCAATAAAGTTCTTTGTAGACTTGCCGTCTTATGCTTTTGTCGATTGAAGTTCGTGAATTGTTGATAAGTTGCCTAGCAATCTCGTCAGGACTGACTTGCCGAGGATTATCGGCTGGCGTCGCGGCAGCTCCCATCAACCTCAGGAGGCGCCAGGCTTTACGGCTCGATTTTGCAAAGTCAAGTGCCTCAACTGTTTCACGTCACCTTTCTCTTCTTTGCAAATTCAGTGACTCGAGTAAAGCTTTTGCAGTCTCCTGCTTCTTATCAGCATTGAATTTCCGGAAAAGTTGTTCGCTTTCTGGAGTCCAACATGGAGTGAAGACCTTTCTGAAGCCTCTTACGATGTTGGCCTTGGCAACTGCCTTGATGAGACCAACGAAGTGACGGTAGTTGACTGCACGTGGAGGTATCATTCCAACTGATTCTTCCAAGTCCGCAGTGAAATTCACCCATTCAGCTGATCTCAGATTCCGACGCGGTATTGGTGCGCAGCGGAAGAGTGAAATCTGAAGACCGATATGGATCACTACAGGTCTATGTTGGCTATTTGGAAAGTCGTCTAGGATTGTTCTCGTCGACGGCATCAGATTTCTCTTCTGCTCCCGAGACACAAAACATAAATCGGGCGTTTCACACTTTTTTCAGCTCGCTGACTTGAACGTATCGCGGTCTTTTAAGTGCTGGTCTTCTGCTGCTGCCCATGATGTCAGTTGCTCACCAGCTCTATCGTTGGCGCTATAGCCCCACAAGGTGAGGTGGCTGTTGAAGTCGCCTATGTGGATGATAGGGTGGCTTGGCTTCGGTAATGCCGGACACGACCATTCCATACCTGGAGGCTTGTAGACGTTGACCACTGTCACGTTGTTGATCTCGATGGCGATGTAGTGTGGCGAGGTGTGTGGCACGACCTGGACCGTGTCCTTCAGGTCGTTCTTTACGTATGTGGCAAGGCCGTGTTTCGGATGGTGGCTTGCAGCAATGAGAGTGTATCCGATTATCTTTGACCGAGGGCACTGTCGATCCAGATGCGTTTCTTCCAGTGCAAAGACGTCGACCTCTTGAAACTGGAGAATCTTCGCAATGTAATCGCATTTCGCACTGGAGGGGCCCTCGACGTTAAGCTGCATGATTCGCAGCGATGGGACGACATTCACATTGCTCTGACCTTGTGAAATGCTCTCTGTGCTGTTGCTTTTCAGGCCGGGATACCATTGTCGGGCATTCGGCCGCCGGTGTGATGACATTTGTTGTGCTTTCGCGAGCAGGTTGTCATCTTCTTCCCCATTTTAAACTAAAACTAAATTCAACTTTTTTTTATTTTACCAGGTAAGGTCCACTGAGCTATATTGCTATTTTTCAGAAGCAACCTGGCCACAAACAATAGCTCATTGAAGTGGCTTATCATGTGGATATGTATCGCAGCCAAATACTCTTAAACGCACATTTCTAAATGTGGAGAGAAAAACCGGAGGACCAGGTGAAAAATCAATGCGTTCTCAGGCAGAACATCCAAATATACAGGCGTCAGGGTTGGGATTGAACCCACGACTTTCTTTACACCAGGCAAGGTAGTTAATATCTCACCACCGTGGAACCCTCAAAACAACAATAGAGCCCCGAAGTTGAAACAAGCAAAGTTTACTGTTGGCTGCGCATCCTGTTTCCACATTGATCCCACGATGTCATGACTGGTTTTGAGCTTTGCCCAGATAAAATGAGCCCACTGGTGTTTAGTCTCTCAGCCTGGTTTGCCAGGGAGGACGGCATGTTTCCCTGTGGTCATGAAAACACGGCAGGGGCTGAGCTGGAACTTAAATTTATTCCAAGTAGCTGATGTCATCCTCGATGACCATACTCATCACTGGGCAGATTGCCCTCTACACACATGGCAATACACTCTCCTTATACACAGGCACACAAAGATGTGCTACAATGCCGTGACAAGCACATATGTTCAAGCACATTATCACAAGCACATCAGAACCAGCATGAATAAACAAGCACATGTAACGAACTACAATAAATCACATATGCTTGTTGAGCACTGTTTTTCATCTCATGTTAGTCCATTCTAACGTGGATGATATAGTTGTGTCGATTGGGAAAGAGGAAAATGACGTTTGCTGTTCATTTATTTCCACTGGTTTTGAATGGAAAAAGGTGGCATCATAAATTATATCCAGAAGGAACATTGTTTGTAATGCAGAGGAATGCAGAATCATCGAATTGCACGCACATTTGTGAGCGAGTGCATGATAGGTTCACTGCACAGGCTTGATTAAGCACACAGAGATAGGAATCAGGAATACCGGCACATGTTTATGTGGTGAGAACTGCAAAGAGACATCGCCTTCCCTGAGGAATTTCTCTTGAGACGAGAAAAAACCCCAATGTATGTCTTAAATACCATCGTATTATTTAAATTGCAAACAAAAACCGTTAATATTCCACTGTTAATTAAGTCCACTGCGGATTACCTGAAAGACAAAACACTTATGCACGACCATTTGCAGTTGAATTTCGGTGCCAAGAAAGCTTATACAATTATTCCGAGCATTGCC